AAATTTAAAGTTCAGTTTAGGTTCAATTGAACTTGAACCTGAACCTAAATTGAACTGAACTGAACTTCGGAACACTAGTTACAACACCTTTTTTAATTTATTTTTATTGATTGAAACATAGTGAAGGATCCAAATTTTCATGCAAAATGATCGTTTTTGATAATTTTTTAATAAAAATCTCAAAAATGTAATTTTGTCGATCACTATTACACAATATAATACAAGTAAACAAAAAAATTTTAAAGTAACTTTTTTGATTTTTATATTAAAAAATATCAAAAATGGCTATTTTGTATGAAAATTAAGTTTCTGATATTGCTTCAAACAACAAACAAAAAAAAAATATTGTTACTTTAAAGAGTACACTAAAATGAACCTGACAAATATAATTTTATTTGTATGTGTTCACTTGTTCAAGAGTTATTGCAATCTAAATTTTATATATTTTTACTACTAATGCTACCACTATACCACTGCTAATTATAAAAAAATTGATTAATGATTTTCACTATATAATCTGCACTATGTTTGTAATTAAATATGCATTAGACACCCCAACATGCTACCGAAATAGGTTTTCAAAAAAACCCTATTTCGTCTCTATTAGAGCAATTTGAAATTTTTATATACAAAAACAAATCTAATTTAGGTAGTTATATTCTTTATAATTTCATCTCTTCAAAAAAAATGTCAAAAAATTCATCTTTTAAGTAAAATAAATCAAAAACAATTTTGTCTTCAAATTTTAATTTCATACCCCAAAACCTAAAATAATTTCATCAGCATATATAATTGTTACCTGGGATTTTTATTAAAAAAAACATTTTTAGAAAAAAAATTCTAGCAAAAATCCATATAATATATGTCGCGGCTGATTATAAAATCAGATTATTGTGAAATTTGGGTCTCAATTTGAAAATATAGGCCCTACCAAAATCCACCAATACTCTTTTATTAAAAACTCTAACCCTAAATCCTAACTCAACTATAAAAAAAAAGGCCCAAAAAAATTTAAAAATCGTACATGAAATAGATCCAAATTTCACAATAATCCGATTTCATAATCAGCCGTGACAATATATACTAAATTTACTAAAACCAGATCAGTTTCAAGTCGTTCAGATCAAACCTGTTAAGTACACTAAGTAAGCACTTGATTTTTATTTGGATTAAATACAGTATTTATATCCAATAAAAAAATATAAACCATATAAACATAGTCCATTTTTATTGGTCCATATTTTTTTTAATTTTTTACATAACTTTTCAAGTTACAAAATAAATTTAAATTAGTTTAAAAACTTTAGCCAAACTTTTATTAGCTTAGTATTCCACACCATTATTAACATGATTAAAGTTTTGCAAATGTTGGTTTTACTTTTTCCATTGAAGATTTAAATGCTTCGATTAAATCCTATACATATAATAATGTTTAGTCATTTAAGCTATAATTTTACTAATGTACATTACTAACCTTGCTATTAAGCATCGCTGAATTCCATAATGCAGTATATTCAAGACCTTCATTGACCGAATGATCGCGTGAATAGTTTAAAAGGTGTCTGTTACATATTAAATTAGTATTGTAATTAAACTGAAAATTGATATTCATCATCAATGCGATACATCTCTATCCTCTGGTTAAATCAAAGAACAGGCAGTTAAGGTTAGGTTACGTTTAAAGCTTTGAAACGGGCATATTTTTCATATTATAAAACCGGCTTTAACGGTTTTAACATATAAAAATTAAACCGGTTCCAAACTTTAGTTAGTTAAATGATAATTAAGGGACCCCCTAACCCAAAATTTCATAAGGATTTTATTTTTTTTATTTTTTGACAAAATTCAGAAAAGCGATTGCACTTTGATTTATCGATCAGGAGATAGCGATGTGATGAATTACAGATCTCATAACAAGATAACAAAAGCTCACTTTGTTCCTACAATTGCTACTGGCGACTTAGAAGCAATAATACTTGCTGTCTTGAACGCTTCTGCTATTTAATCATAAGGCATCAAAAAATAAATAGGATGTGCAATTTAATTCTGTAAAAATACTTTATATACGTACACAATGCTATTTCTTTCGTCTGTAAAATTTTATTCACAAAACCAAAATTAAGTGCTTCAGTTGATGAAAACCTTATGTCCAAATATAAATGTAAGAATGAATTATAGAAATGAAATTTGTATGAGTACGAAAGTATTTACTTGCGTCCAGTGAAACAAAGTTCCCTCACAAGGCTATTATTTCCCACAATTTTAGGTAGACGTTGCAATGTACCTAAACCATGTAAATTTGATAATTTCCATAAGACGTATCTGAACTAGAGGTGCAGGTGAAACTTCCATAGCTTGCCGTAACTATCGCCGTATCTTGTCAGAACTATCTCTGTAATAACTATAGTGAATTACGGCATTTTTGCCGTAACTTTATTATGTTACGACAAGTTAATGCAATAGTTACGGCAGGTTACAGGGCTTCGCTCTGAACAAAAGTATTTTTTTCCTACCGATATCAGCTGCTAAACCCAAATCAATTTCCTAATTTTATTTAAAAAAAAAATCATTTTTTACTTGTGAAATAAGGAAAAATCTATGCTATCATCATGATACAAAAAATACCTTAATGCAAAAATATGCATCCTGTGAACAGTAACGAATGTCACAAGCAGCAATCAACTCAACACCGGCCCCAATGCAGGCATTATGAACTACGGCTATGACAGGCTTATTGCACGATTCAATTGCAGTGAATGAATCTTGGAACATCTGCAGATCGCGTGAACAAATAATCAGGGTACGTACGTACGTACATCAACAATTGCGATCATAAAACTACCTTAAGGTGTCGCCGTAAATAATATGCCTTTCGTGCAAAATCTGTTACTTCACCTTCATTGATCTCCGATAATGTATTGACTATCTTCGGAAAAAATTTTTGCAAATTAATTTTTTTTTAATTAATCTAAATGAATGCCGTCAAGGGAAAACCTGTCATCTTCAGTTTGTTTACTGAGTGCCGTCTATGAAAATTTATCATCGGGCTTTTAATTATAGTTTGTTATAACTCGCCACAAAATATAATTGGAAGCCCGATGATTGATTTTCCCTAGACGACACTCAGTAAACAAACTGGACATTGAAAGCCCGATGACAGGTTTTCCCTTAACGGCACTCATGGAACAAAAACCACATAATTACAGTCAATCCCAGCTGAAAATAATTTGCCTGCTCCCGAGATTACAACGACTCTGACCGCAGAATCTGCATCAATTTGCGTGAAACATTCTTTAATGTCATTCCATAAACTGCAGGAAAATTTAGTAAATTAGAATTTTACGCGGTTAGATTAATGAGTATTTAAATTTCTCACGTTTGATCGAAAGTATTTAATCGTTTTGGGTTATTTAATTCCACGTGAAGTACGTATTGCGACGGAAACGTCGCTTTTAACGTTTGAAAAGTGTAAGACATTTAGGTTGGTTTACCTCGAGGTCCAAAATTTAAGGGTAGGGTATATCTATGTACCCCGCCCAAAATGGAAATATCGTCGTTGTCAGATATGTTTTTTATCCCCTTTAATTAGGACATGTAAAACTATCGATTTGATATTTGTATAATAATATAGTATGATAATTTGAGATAACATCACGTTGGTACAGTGATAATTTTTTGATTAGAGAATGCCGCTTCGCGGCATTTTCTGACATTCAAAAAATTTTCACTGTACCACGTGATGTATCTCAGAATTATCATGCTATATTGGTATTATAGTACGGCGGTCATTGATCATAAACTATACAGTTTGTGTTTTTTTAAAATCTCTTTAATTCGTGTAGTGTAGCTAGTAGTTAGGGTTTAGGGCACGGGAAAAAAATTAGGCATGCCCATAGGGGCATGCCCTGTGCTGAGGCATGCCCCTCATGCCCATGGGCGGGCTTTCATTCTTATTGGCTAATTTTTGTAGATCATTCGATGACGTTGCTAATTCTGATTGGCTAATAGAAACGAGTTTGAAACGAAAAGATTTAAACTGTAAATTCGAATTTATAATAACAATTTTTAATATATTGACCCTGACAGCCATTGTCAAATGTGTAT